ATCGTGGGGCAGCCCCGCCGCGCCGCGTCGTCCCCGCAAGGGCGAATCCCGCTGTGCCCGTGATCCCCCCTCACCCCCGCGGTGCTCACCTCTGCGCGGCGGCGGGAGGGCGAGCGGAGCCGTCCGGTAGCGGTGAGGCGGGGAGCGGTGATGTCAGGCCGCGGGCTCCGCCCTCCTGCCCATGTGCCCGCCGGCGGCCGCCACACGTCCGCGCCGGGCGGAACGGCACGGAGCGGCACGGAACGGAGCGGCACGGAACGGAACGGCACGGCCAGGCTCACCCCATGGCCCAGCACGGCATGGCACGCCACGGCTTGGCACAACCCGGCCCGGCTCGGCACAACCCGGCCCGGCTCGGCACAGCCTGGCCCGGCCCGGTTCGGCACAGCCAGGCTCACCGCATGGCCCGGCACAGCCCGGCCCAGGGGCGAGGGTTTGGGAGCGGTGAGAGCCCTCCAGCCCTGGCCCCGCTCCCCGCTGCGCCCGCCCGGGTGGCGTTGCCACGCCGAGGTGAAATGCAGAGGGACGGGAGGGCATCGCTCTGGGGGCTGCAGCAGACGTGGTGCCCGTTACGGGCAGGAGTCGAAGGCAGACCTTAATTCTCTATTTATAAGTGCATTTCAGAGCCAGCCAGGGTTTCATTTTAATGGGAGGGTGCGGCTTGGTGCGCCTCTCTCCCTGCTATCAGGGGCCGAGCACTTGCTCTTAAAAGCTGTGCCACGGCGTGTGGAGCAGATAATGGTTCTTGCCCCCGCGCTGGGAAAGAGTTGTCCTGTTGGAACCAGCCCGCACGCAGCCGCACGGCCCCGCTCCGATAGACCAGCGGTAGCACACTGTTAGGCTGCCGAGAGCTGGCACTAGAAGTAGTGTCTTCAGGCAAAAAAAGGGGGGTCAGACCCACAGGGATTTAAAAAAAAAAAAAAATCCCTCTGGAACTTTGGTTCAGTCTCTCAGTAGAGGAGAGGAGCATGGAGGGGGGGGCACCTGAAGGGATTGTCTCATCCACCCCCGAACCGTGGCATAGCTGGGGAGATGCTGGTGCGGTCTCTTTTTGCAGCCTGCGCAGGGGGATGTGCAGCCCCTCTGAACCGAGCATTACGTGCTTCACCGCCTCTGCAGTTAGGAGGGTTTTCTTAATCTCCTGTTCTTCGCTGACTGCCATCCCCTCCATGCCCACCTTGCCCATGGGATGTGTGTTCCTAGGGTGAAACAAGCCTCACTTCTTTCCGCTCTGCTGGGCAGGCTGTGATTTTAACCATTTCAGCCCATTCTCCACTGCTGTCCTCCATGGATGCTCTCCTGCCTCTGTGCTGCCTGCAAATGGGGCCAGCTGCCAGCCAGGGCTGTCCCAGCGTGGGGGGGTACCCACCGCCTCGCACATCCACTTTCACATCCATGGGGTGAGAGATACAGCAACCTGCCGATACGGGGAGGCTGCAGCGAAGATGTGGGATTGCTGGAGGAAGCTTGCATTGGTGGCTCCTGGTACTGGGACCTTGGATAAGACAAAGCTTCAGAGGCTGGGGGCGTTCAAGCTGCAAACTTCAAGATGCTGCGAGTTCCCTGGGTATTGGGGAATACTGGAGAGGCGAGAAAACCTATTGGCATGGTTGGGAGAAGGAGGATCGTTAGGGTTTCTGTACTTCATCATGCCTCCGTGAAGTCCATCTGTGACTGAATGCAGCCGACAGACCCACATTACTCCTTACCTCCTTCTTCCCTGTTGTGACCTCTGCCTCCTCATGTGAATCTTAGTGATACTTAATTTATATGCCATGATCAACCCTTTGTGGAGACTGAAGGAAAGAAATCGTTGACCTCTCCTGCACTTTCTGTATCTTGTTACCTGCACTCCCACATTATGTAAAGGACAAATTTTGCCTTTTAATTTATTTATAGAACCCATAGTCGTTGCCTTGTTTGCCTTGGTCATTGTGATTCATTTTACATGATTCCTCTTTGTTCTTGCAGGTCTCTGTAAAGGCATGGTTGCACCATGCGGGTCTCCCTCTGTACCTTTCCCTTGCACGGGGCAATGGCTACTGTTACGGGTTTATGATCATTTCCTTGGGTGATGACCAGCCCTCTGGGGTTCCTTTATCCCAAAGCACTGAAATCTACTTTTTTCATAGAACAGCAAACTTCGGAGTTTTTTTCCCCATAATTTTCACCAAAATATCCTCTGCTTTTCCACTTTTCTGTCACAAAGGGGCACCTCAAAATGAACACCCATTTTATACCTGTCTCCCTCTTCTCAAACCCCTGGCCAGCCCTGTCCAGGCCACCCGTTTGCTGGATGGCTTGAGTCCTGCAGCTCCAGTTTTCCTGCAGCCGTCTCAGTAGCTAGCTAAAGCCTCCCCAGCTCCCAGTCCTTGTCTGGCTTTATTGGTTGCTCAAGAAATGCCCTTGGGAACCGTCTTTCTGATGAGGTGACCTGATGTGGGCTTGCGAGGTGCCTTCATTTCTTTTCTACCCAGAGACACCCAATGTGCCGCACTCGTGCTGGACTTGGCCAGTGTTTCTGTGCGTTTATCTGGTTTTTTTTCCCCTTTCTCCTTGCTGCTCCCGAGCAAGGGTTTTTCCCGTGTGAGCTGGACCCTTCTCCCAGCAGGCATCTTTCCTGGCCCATCACTCGGTGGTCAGAGCCGCGGCTCTCTGGCAGCACCTCTGTGTCCCCGTGCCCAGCTGGCCGTGCCCCCGCCGCCCCCTCAGCCGCGATGCCACCTGCACCCCCTCCTCCCCGTCCTTCCCCTGCCGTGGGGCCGGGCAGTTGCTTTGGATCTGCTCAGGGCTGGGGCTGGCAAGCTCCGCCGGTGCCCATGTGCCGGCACAGCGTGGCACGGGCGAGCAGATGAACCTCGGCAGCTCCTGGCTGCCGGGCCAGGGAGCCGTGGGGAGCCCCCACCTTCCACGCCGTGTCTCGAGGCTCTTGCCGGGTTGCTCGAAGCATCCGAGGTGGCTGCGTGGAGGGGTGCACCGGGCCAGCTCGCCTCCTGCCCCATACCTAATCAATAAGGTGGGTGGCCCTCCCCTGTCCCAGGGCATGCCCAGGCTTTGCTGTACCCAGACACCAAGGCGGTGGTCCCCGAGCCCCCCTCGGGCTGCTTCCCCCTTGCCAGATCCCTTGGGTGCATCACGGAGGTGTACGTGCCAGCCCAAGGGCTGGTGTGGACCAGAGGCCACGGGGGATGCGGCAGCGCACCTGAGCAAATACCAGGACAAAAGCAGAGCTCGGGGACACCACCTGACCCTGCCACCCGCAATGTCACGGCAAGAGAATAGCTCCACTTTCCCCTGAAATCCAAGGGTAGTAAGCAGCAAACTTACCGTTTGCAAACCGAACCTATTTGGCAGGGTGGTCGGTAAACGTAGCTCCTCCTCTGGTCTTTCCAGAGCTGCGTTTTGGGCTGGAAACTGCTTTCTTGGGGTCCAGCGATACCGTTTGGGTTGGGAAATTGTGTTATAAGCACACCAGGAGCGTCAGGTGAGTTCGCCGGCACAGCGCACCGGACTGGCACATGGTCCCGAAACCACTGAGCCCAGAAAGGAGACGAGAGGCTGGAAAAGTGCATGTACAATGCAGACAAGGTGGAACTGATAATTTGTGGTTAATTATTGCCAGTGAGCAGAGGCCAGAAATGAATTTGGCGTGGTTGTGAAACAGAGAGCACGTGCAGGGGGAGTGACCTGGGGGCTGCAAAAATGGGCACGGGGGGGAGCTGCCATGGCTCTGTGAAGCTGGAGTTGGGCAAACAGTGTCCTTGTTGGGTGAAGAAGTAGTAGCTCTTGTTGTCCCTTGATTCTGCTGGCGTTACCTGGATGTACTGGGGGTGGTGCTGAATCCTGATGGTGCCGGGGATAGACCTGGCTGTATCCTCATGGAGCTGCAAGGAGGGAGCAGGCAGAGGGCAGAGGTTTGCGGGCAGGTTGCAGGCAGGACAAAGTGCTGCCATGTCCCTCCCAGAGTATCCCAGTTGGGGAGGGATGGGCTGTACCCCCACAGCCCTCCTCCCACCCGAGGGCTGTGCGGGGGCGATGGTGGCTGTACGGTGCTAAAAATCGATGGGGGTCCGTACCCACACCGATTGCCTGCTTCCCACCATCGGCTGTGTGTCTTCTGCTGATGATCTAGTGAAATGCCTGGATTTTGGACGAGAGGCGAGATGTGGGTGACTGCACAGCCGTGCCAGACACTTCCAGCCCGAGCGTCCTCCTGAGCACCCTGGCAGCACGGTCGTGCTGCCAGGGTGCTCAGAAGGACGCTCGGGCTGGAAATATCCGTACAGGGCTTACACACACCCAGGGTACCCTGGATTCAGCTTCTGGCCGAGCCCTGGGTCCCCACTGGGGGTCTGGCAGCATCCCCGGGGAAAGTCGGTCGGAAAGCACAGTTAACGCAGCGCTACCAGAAAACGCCTTCCTGCTGCTAATCAGCTCCCGGCAGATTATCGCTTTCGCAGCTGCCTGGCTTTTCAGAGAAAAAATGTCATTTATCAGCCCTTCACGGAGGAGACCTGGTAGAGATGCTCCGCGCTGGCGTTGCCGGGGCTCGTTCCCGCCTGTCATGCAGGCGCCATCTAGTAGGAAAAGGAGAAAAAGACCAAAAATGAAACAAGGTGGATGTTGAAATGCAGTTTCTTTCCGGGGGAACAGTTTAATCTAACACAAAGCTGCTCGTGCTGAGCCCGTGGTTTGGGAACCTGCAGCAGAATTCAATGCATGGGACATGATGAGGCACGGAGATGCCCTGAACTGGAGCACGGCTTGTCCAGGATGGGTCCTGATTTATTGGATCTAAAAATAAACTTTGACATAAAGAATCATTTCCAGGCAGCTCCTTGATAACATTGTCAGGGCTGGATTTGATTAATTAGCTGTGTGGGTTAATTGCAATATACTGGCTTGGGCTGCCACCGTCAGCTCCGGCGGGTGGCAGATGCTCCTGTTTCCAGTACCGAGGTTGTCCCATCGGCTGGAGGCTTTACTTACAGCTAAAAACCTCTCTGCCATCAATGCATGTGTGATTTCATGTCCTGAAGGCATCCGCTTTAGTCATATCGCATGATTTTACCACAAATCCCGTACTGCTGTCTTCATCTTCTAACAGTCACGTGGATTTTCAATGTGATTTCCCAGCCTTAG